GTGTCAAAGGAGAGTGGAGTTACTGAAGTGATTGTAAGTTCGGCGTTAATAATGTGGCCTTTTGCGCAGTTTAACTAACGTGCAGGCGGGGGCTGCCCCTCCCGTGAAGGAAATATCTGGGGCCTGAAATTACAAGGGCGCTTTCAACTTGTGGCAGGAATGTTGAACTTTTTGTCACTTCATGCCCTCATAACATTTTGCTTTAATTTTTTTGCTTATTATTGCATTTTCTAGCACTACGATCTTTTCTACGGTTGTCATTGATAAATTATTGGTTCTCAGGAATGCTAGGCGTTTTGGAATATGATGGCCAGTTTAAAAAGATATAGAATGCACATTTCAAGCTGTCTTCCACTCTAGCTTTGTGCATCACACACTCTCGTAATTTTTTAAAATGCTGGGAAGAAACCTTCTAAAAACAAGGGTGTGAAACAATGTTTAAATCTCTAGAAAGCTAAGAATCAGATTTAAAAGTTGTTTTACACGATAATGCAGAGAAATTATGTGGTAACATTTTAAAGTTGGGAATGGACGGCTGTCTGGACTATGAAAAGTATGACGGCGATGACCAGTTAGCAGTTTGAAATTGCACATGAAGATTTGTGAAGTCTGAAGATTTTCCTCCATTTTTGACATTCAATGTTAAAATATGGTGATGTTTTATGCTGATTTTCTCTTGAGAAATAATGAAACTTGATGAATGAGAAAGTAATAGCCTCGATTCCCGCAGGGAGCCGTGAACGTTTTGATTTCTTGGAGATGAACGGGAGTTTCTGCCGATGTCATGCGGGGAGGAGAAAGAGGCTGGCCAAAATACCGGCGAAATAACTTTATCGTGATGCTGTTAACAGCGATTCCCACATAAATAAAGAATTATGATTAGTGTTGAATCTACCGTCGTCATTAATAAACATGAAGATGGCAAAGATAAGAACTAATGTCTAGTTAATTAATCAAGCAATAGTTAGAGGTGTGTGTATTCTAAACCTATTTTTTTAACTAAGCCTTCTGTGTTTTTGTGCACTATCGTTAGACCATCCAAAGAGTTTGATGACGAAACTGTTCATTGCGTGATGGATAACACACCTCCTTACCAGCCTTCGATTTTTCAGCTTTTTGTTTGAAAACCTTCCACGCCAATCTTCTCCTACTCGGATGTTGTTTTTCTAATACTTTTCTAAACCAAAGGTTTTGATATGCAGTTCTGTCTCTGGTCAGAGTGCGATCAGCTACAGCCGAATAAATTGAAACAGGAGGGAAGGGGAACTTTTGACGGCTATGATGATAATTCCAGGCTTTGGTTGGTCCCGGCGGCCTGGGCCTCAAGGGAGTCGTTCGCACTTCGACAGGTTTTTACAGTGGGCCCAATTGCCAGTGTAATGGGCTGCTGTAACCCAACTGCCACCGCTTCGTGACCAAAAAATGCTGTCTCTTCTCTGGCCTATGGTTTAGCCTGTCACCATACAGCTGCAGCGAGGGGCAAGAGACCATTGCTGTGACCGTGAACCTAGTTCCATTTCCACTGCTAGTATGGCACTTCGAAGAGGCCAGTCAGGAGATCAAACTGAGCTATTCTTGGTGCAATTTCCTTTGTATTTTTTTTATCTCGGAACCCTGAACGAGTCTGTGGCACCTCTGTAACGCGGCATATCTGCCTTTCATAGGGGAAGACTCTAGCCTGACATGTCATCAGCATTTCTCCTCAAATAATGGAGCTCAGTGGAGAAAGCTGTGAGAACTAGTGTACATCGCTCTCCTGCATCATCCTGACGATCACTGCGTCA